TCTGCCCCGAATGCTGTTCCTGCTGGTGTTTGCACGCCTCCCTCCCCAACTTCCTTGAGTCTTCCCTGGCGTGGCACCTGCTCAGGGCATCCTCCTCTGGCCCCTGACGTCACAGTTTTAAGCTACTTTCTCATCACTACATACCCACTTCTCTGCTTTGCTTTGTCTTTTTTTTCATTCACACTTAATAACTAATATTCTACACGTTATTGTTTATCTTGCATATTTTTTTTCTCTCTAGTTTCTCACTGGAATAGAAGCTCCATGGGGCAGGGTTTTCCGACAGTTTTTTTCTCCCTAGGAACGTGAACAGAGTCCAACTCATAACTGGCACTGGATGAGTATTCGTGGAAGGAATAGATGAAGATTCTTTCTCATCTCTTTCACGTGCCTATCTTCTGCTCTGTGACAATTGGTGTTTCCTTTATCTCATGTGACACATTTTCTTGGGGATATTTTATCCATGGCCTGGGCTTCATCTGGAATGGCACCATGTGGCAGAGGGCAATATTGTCCCAATTTTTTTTTTTTTTTTCCTTTTGGCCCCCCCTTTTTCCTTTTACTTTTGCGGCGGAGGCGGGGCCCGGCGGTTGCCGCTGGAGCTGGGCTGCACTCTGTGGCCTGCGTTGGCCAGCGAAGTGCCAGTGGATGTCGAGCACGCAGAAACCACAGATGTGCGTGCAGGGCAGGGTTCCCGCCTGTACTGCTGCTGTCGCAAGCAGAAGAACATTTCTGAAGTAACTTGCGTGTCCCGGAAAAATGAGAAACCCAAAGAACAATCCTGAACACACTTGTCATCCGGAGCCCTGGTCCAGCCAGCTTGGCAGAGATGAGCAGAGACCCCCAGCTGCTGCAGTGCGTGGGCCGTGGCGTGCGCTTCTGAGATGGAGGCGTGCTCGTTACGCAGCATTATGTATGACTGATACATGTTTTCATAACTCCCAAGTCCGTTCCTGAGCCTAAACCTCTGTCCCGGTTCAAGGCTCACTTTCAGAGCTGCTGAAACGGACCTTGTGATGGTGGCCACAGAGGTTCTGGTGGCCATGGAGGTTCTGGTGGGGGACCGCTGTGTGCTGTGGCCAGTATAGGGCAGCAGGGAGGAGATCAGAGTGGCCTGGCAGGACAGCTGTCACAGCGGGAGTCTCCAGCTCTGGGGTGGACAGTTTGTCCTCTCAACACTGCCTCCCCACGTTGCCGAACAGTTCAGAAGGCTCAGTGACAAACAGCTACCAGGCCCATTTCTAGTAAACATAAAGCACTGATAAACCACCCCCCCAAAAAAAATTCATACTGAGTATACTGCGGAAAAAAATAAATCTTTTCTATTTAAAAATGCCTCGAGAATATTTTATAGTCAATAAATAAACATATACTACCTCGTCTGAAATTTGAAAGAAAAGTCACTGACCATATATATAGTCCATATAATTTTGTGTTTCACGGGTCCTTTCCTGTCTTGAGGTGCTCTGACCCCAGGCCCACTCTGTGCTGGTGATATATGGTCCTCAAAGAAACTAACACCTTGCTGAGCCATCAAATATGTCAAAAGGAAATTTAGGACAAGTGGCAGGAAAGGCTTCATAGCAGGAAAATCTTATGGGAACATAAAATTATTTCCCAAGGAAGTTGTTAAAAATCCATTATGTGAGCCATTTATAAATGTGTTATTTATCAACATCTTGCAAAAAAAAAAAAAAAAGTTAGACTGCACATTAGGAACAAAATCCCTATATTGGCAAGTTAGACCAGATGGTTTAATAAGACATTTTTTCATATTTTCTGATGATTTAAATTATAGCATTCTATTTTTTATGACACAGAATGCTATTTTCTTGCAATATGAAATGTAAGACCTAAATGAAACAATTGCTTTCAGAGAATGCACATGGGAAGATAGTTTTAATTGTCCTTCATAGCCCTGAATTCATAAATCAGTAAAAAATAAATTTGAAAAATATTTTAAAAGTCAGTTTAGTTACGTGAATGTGTCCTTGATGACACAGAATTGATTTATTGCTGATTAACATGATGCGTTCATATTAACCCAGTTGTCAGTACACAGTAAGCTAAGATGACCCAAGGGAAGGTAGGGAGGGCTGGGGGGACAATAGGAGGACCAGACAGAAGACTGGGGCGTGGGGGTCTGCAGGAGGGTCGAGGGCATTCCTGGTGACAAAGACTCGCCCCTCAGCCTGGATCAAGACGCTACCCTGGAGACCGCTGGCAGAGAGCTTTTAAATATCGAGCATGAGATCCCCACATGGAAGAGAAATTAACTTGAAAAAATTCACTCATAAGAGTGACCCCTGCCCATGCTTCAGGGGTGGCTGATACGCGCTTACGGTGTGAATGATGCTAGGAACTTCTGGACATCACAGTCTGAGACGGAGCCAGCAAGATATCAATGACCAAGGTCCTCATCTGCAGAGCAGCCTTAAAGGAGCAGAGAAAGTGCAGTGACCATGTTTGCAGTGACCACTGCAAAGTTCTCCAAGCCATGGAAAATATTGAAGTCAAATATTTACAGTACTGAAGGGCTCACATGCAATGGAAAATAGCCCCCAAATTAAGAACATCTGGGAAAAGTCCGCACCCGAGCTCAGCAAGGAAAACAGCAGTGGAGACGCAGAGTGTTTGTAGGGAGGCTAATGAGGAAGGGAGGTTTCCCTCTGTTTTTCTTTTTTTTCTTTCTTTTTCTTAGGTAATGAGGCGACTTTCCTGCGGTGAGCGTAAGGGAAATGATTTGATTCTGTCTGACTGAGTTTACAACCTGCCAAATGAAAAGATTGCTACCTCCTATCACGAAATGGTATAATTACTGAGGTATAGAACTTGCAGACCATAGATTTTTAAAACACTGGAGAAGTCAAATATATACATATGTAATTATTTGGGACTGATCAATCGAAGAATGTTTATTCTCAATTATAGGAAAACAAGAAAGGGAGATAATTTAAGGAGAAAAGGAAAAAAAAAATATTGGCTTTGGGTGTCGTCACATCCTAACTGCATGTGTCACCAGTTGTGGATCTTAGGTAAGTTGCCTAAAGCTCTCCCAGCCTCAGTCAGAAAAGGTCAGAAACACATGAACTTGGTGTTGGTCAAACAGGTTGGCTTAGTTACTGGCGTCGTCAATCACACTGGTGGCCAAGACATCATAGTATGTAATATGCAATGAGATGGCATACATGCATGGCAGGCCTCTCTGTACTGCTAAGGCATTGAATGAGAAGCCAGGTCTGAACGTGCCTGTTCCAGTGCCAGGCACAAAGCTAATGATTAATTGAAGCTCTTTCCCCCCCCACCCCATCTTCCCTTCCCAGAAAGCCAAATGAGTGTCAATGACATTTTGCCACTGATACTCACACTGCTGGAATAGCATTCTAGGTCATACGTTTGTTGAATGAGGACCCAGTTTTCATTCTGCCCTGTAGGGAGTGCAGAGGAAGATGGCTCTGGGCGTGGGCAGACAAAGGATCACAACCAAATCCTAGAGCAGGAGGAATATCCTATCGGAGAGGCACCAAGGCCCCTGAGTTGTCAATGGTTGTGTTTCCCTTTTGGAATACCTCTGATTCTGAGCCCTGGGTCCAAGAACGGCTGTTCATAATCTGGAGCAGGGAAGGGACAATAAATAGATTGCACTTTATGGGCCTGAGGATGCAAGCTTAGAGCCCTGTGTTGAGAAGGATTATAAAGCTTAGTGGGAAAAGGAGCCATAATCGATTAATGGTGTCTACCACTGGGTGATCAATTAGTGATGCCTGCCACTGACTAGGGATGGAAGAATGAGCACGTCAGCTTGTCAGAATTCCTATCTGCAATGCCAGACCCAGCTCAAATACCATCTTACAAACATTTCTCGAGATTTAGAATTAAAGCAACATATGATCTAAAGGATGAGATCACCCCTATCATTGTTTGCATATTTTAGGCAGTTAAATTGTTATAATTGTTTCTTCTTTTCCTTACCACCAGATTATGAACTGTTTATGCAACCATGATCTGCCCCTCCCTCCCTCCCTCCCTCCCACTTCCAAGTCCTAACGCATACATCCAGGCTTTCTTCCTGTGATTCATTCAAACATGTTTGCTGAGCACGCCTTAGGGGCTAAAAGTGATGACAAGATACAGTTGAGGGCAGGGCTCAGCTCCGTGGAGCTCGTGGCTTGGCATAAGGTAGGTGCTCAGAAGCTCTGCTGCTGCACTCATCGCATCCTACTGCTGAGGCTTGTGGGTGGTGACCTGGGCCGTGGCCGAAGTGAGCATGGACCAGTCGTCACCGGCAGCTTCCTTGGCAAGGGGGCAGCTGGGAGCTGAATGCAGAGGACGGGACAGCAGCAGGCAGGAGTTGATTGGAATGCCGAAAGCCCAGGGGGTCCTAGTGGCTAGTCTGCTAGAAGAGTTGGTTGCATTTTCTCAAATTTGCGGTAGTTTCCGGAAAAAACGTGAGAAGCAGGGTGGCTCTTACTAAGTAAGCAGATGACGTCGATGCCCAGTGTGGGGACTGCAGCCACTCACAGGCCAGTCACGGAGCAAAACCGGCCTGTGCTGGCTCGGAATGGCCGGTGGCTGTCTTCCCTGCGCCCTCCCACTGCAATCCCACGTTCTCGTAAGAGTTAGTTAGAAACTTTACCTTAACTTGCTTTGCGGGAAAAATAAAAGGATGAGACTGAGTTGTTTTGCATCTACTGAGATGTTGTTTGAATTTCCACCTTCCTAAGTCATTTCGGCCAGGCTACTTGAAGGGAGAGTGTCATAGATTTAGAATACGCTCGATTATTACAAGGTGCCGTTCTCTGCCCAGGGAGGGTTAGTAACTCGGAAGATGTCAATACATTCACCAGGCCTGCTAAGATTCGGAGAGCTCTCTTTGTAACACTGTCAGAGGCAGCTCGTCTTACTGATTACAGGCGTAAAAGTTTCAACAGCGGTGGAGGAAACGTTTATTACCCTCCATCAGGCCAAGAGAACCCTGTCCCCCGAAACGATGCCTGGGGTTAAAGATGACGTCCCCTTTGCGGTTGAGTTTGCACCTTTAGTTCTGGGGATGAGTTCAAGTCAGGCAGTCGGTGAAATCAAGAGTCTGGCTACATGAAAATCTCCTCCTTCTCATTCCTTATGTTGGCAAAGAGGGCGGTGCTGTGGTTTATGGTGGGTATTGTGTGTGTGCCTGTGTGTGTGTGTGTTGTTTGATTTTTGCATGGCAGTTTCTCAAGGAAGCTGACTTTTGCAGGTGCCCCAGCCTGTTAACGTCACTTTTAGGGACCAAGAACATCTCCGAACCTCTGTGCTGCGGAGGACGGCAGAGGGGGGCAGCAGTCCCGGCTGCGGCAGTGCCAGCAGCTGTGAGCTCCCCGAGGGGTCCCTCTTTTGCCTCGGTCTCCTTCACCTGGCAGTTCCTCTCCATTTGGGAAAATCCCTGGAAACACTGCAAAGCCGGTGGCACCAGGAGCCCCCACGTGAGAGCTGGGGCCTGTCCCAGGACACCTGCTGTCAGGCACAGGCAGACCTCTGCAAGGCCACTCTCACCACGCCATCCCCTGCTCAGAGTCCTGCACGGGCCCCAGTGTCAGGGGGCAGTCCTCACTGGAAAGGTGTCAGCTTCTCGGGCCCAGTGCTTCCTGCCCACCCTGCGTCCCGCTCTGGCAGGCGCGTCCTGTTCCTGGCTACCTCGGGCCCCCCAGCCCTCCATGTCCTCCCTGGCCTAGCCCTGTGAACATCTCCAGCTATGACCCTGTCTGCATGGCCTGTCCTCCATCACACGCTGAGTGGCCCGAACCCTCTGCAGACACTTACTCTCCACTCCCCCGAGTCAAGCCTTGAATATTATGTGCTCCACAAGGACCTGTAGACCATGTAGCCCACCACCCCCTGCAGTTAGTAGGCAAGAAGATGGAGGCCCGAGAGGTGAAAGGGGAGTGTGAGTTAACACAGAACCCAGGGGCCTGATTCTGTCCTTTCTACAACACGACTGTGTCTTCCATCCTGTTCTCTGACCAGCTCCTTCTGCCCTTCTGTGGATCTGATTTCTCCAACCAGATTCTGAGCCCCTTGGGAATAAATATGTGTTGCAATTTCCTTTGTAGCAGTCGGCAGAGCCTGCAGAGAAAGACCCCCCTAAGCACGGGCTGAAATGGAGGTATGTAAGCCACCTGCATGCTTTAGAAAATAGCAAATCACCTGGATACCAGGCCACCCACCTTGGGGACATTTGTGACCCTCAGAACAGTAGCTGTTGAGTTGTTAGCACCAAAAAGTGCATAGAGCTTTGTCATAGAGAAGACAAGCTGGACAAAGATGAGGTGGTCACTCGGTTCAGCGTTGTCATTGTTCAGTGCAGGCGCCGTAGCCCAGCATGCTGAGGTCACCATTTACCTGGTACCAAACCAAAACTGTGACACCGTCATGCACAGCGTTTATCTCTTTACTGCCTCTAAGTTTCCCTGGACAAAGGCTGAATGAGTAGGGGCTGAGGGAGGTGAGGAGGATGGAAAATAAGCAACTGGAACATTGAGTGCCAGATAGGGTGCTATGGCTCCGTGCGTTTTGCTACAGCAGGGCGCCCCGGCTGTCTTGTGAGAGGGGACGAGAAGCCCCAACATTTCCCTGGTATTTTTCACAAACTTCTATCTCCTCTCTCTTTTCAGATAACTTCCAAGCTGTTTATATTTTCCCCCCATGCTATATAGTCTCTGATTGAGATGACTTTCTCGCCTCTTTGCTCACATCATCCCAACAGTCCCTCCGGTGCCCAGAACTCCCTTTCTAATTACAGCAAACTCCCGGCTGATCTTGGAAGGGGCTGTAGGACGAGGGGCCCTCCTCTGACGCATCACTTTTTGGATCCTGTTTTCTCCAAACTGCTCCCTCTTCTGTCTCTGTCTTCTGTCTCTGCCAAACAACTGTCCACAGTCCTCTGAACCCCAACGTGTAGCTCAGGAACCAAATTTGTTTGCGGGAAGAATGGCAGTCTGTCCCGGTGCCTTGGGTGGTGTTCATGGAAGCTGTCTGAATGAACTAACAAGTCTGGCCAATAAGACAGTCGCCGGGCCGAATCGGGTGACTTGAGCGTGAACTGTCTTCTGTCTTCCGGTGGGCTTGGCATCACACACGCAGTAAAAGCCTGGCCATTTAAGAAGGATCATTTGTCAACACCTAGGTGGACATACAGGAGTAACGTTTATCGGGTGTCGGGAGGGTGGAGGGGGAGGAGGGGATGGGTATACACAACCACAACGAGCGAGATGTGCAACGTTGGGGGATGGACACGCTTGAAGCTCTTACTCGAGGGGGGAGGGGGGCACGGGCAATATAAGTAACCTTAACACTTGTACCCCCATAATACGCTAAAATAAAAAAAATTAAAAAAAAAAAAGAAGGATCATTTGAAGAGGTTTTTTTAAATTGAAGAAATGGCTCTTCCTTATTCAGGAAAGCAAAGCCAATCTTCGTGCCGTTGGGGGCATGTGAGGTCTAGAGGACTTTTTCCTTCCTGAGTTTGCTATGAGAAACCACTCTCAGCTCCTTGGTGGAAGCAGACCAAATATTAAAAGCGAGGCATTATCAGCAAAGTCAGGTGTCTACATCATTATAAAGTGATACTGCGTCTAATTTGTGAAGTTAATGCAGGGAAGGTCCTTACACATGACTGTGAAACTACCAACCACAGAATTGCCCACAGACGCCCGTGGGCCCGTGGCAGAGCCCACGGATTCAGCACGTGGCCGCTGGGAACAGGCTTTCCTACGGGAATCAGCCATTGCTTCTAGTGCTGCCAACTGCCCGGTATCGTATTTTCACAGGGCTATTATTTATGATCCCAAGTCATATTCCCATCTGGTTGGAACAGACCAGGGTATTTGATTGAAGGTCGCTGGTGCCCGGGTGGCGTTCCAGACCGCAGATCAGATCCTGCCACGTGGGAGGGGCCCAGACTCCCCCAGAGCCTGCCTTTCTTCCCTTCGGCGCAGCCCTAGCTCGGGGGTCTCTAGCAAAGCCGCTGAGAATTTTCCTGAAGACGCCGGTTCTAGATGATTAATCAAGGCCCCGGGTGTCACAGTGACACATTGTCCTGAAGGCATTCCTTCCTTCTGCTGGCTTCTGACCCTTCCTCTGGGGGTGAGTGTGCATTTTCCCAAACTCTTAATGGGCAAAAACTCTCAACAGTGGCCCTCCATGTGGCTTACATTTGCAGGATGGAACAGAGAGTGTATCTGCGGCTAGAGGCAGGGAAAAAGGCATAAGTTAACTCCATCTTTGCATTCTCATGGAAAACATGCATATATGTTGAAGAGCACAACCCTCCACTTGTTTTTCTTTTTTTTTAAATTTTTATTTTTAGTAGACTTTGTTGCACCCAAATTCATCCAAATAATACTCAAGGAAGTTGAAGTGAAAGGCTCACCCACAGTCCTACCACTCTGCAAATCTAATTATTTCCCTGTCCATGTATGCACAAAGCCTTCACTTGGTTGGCATCAACGCTCACTTGGCTTTCTAGAGAATTCCATTGTGATAGAGACATCTCTCTCAGACAGTCATGTGCCATCGTTAAATATTCAAAATACCATTGATTCCCTCCCGGCTCTGTTGTGTTCGTCATTGATCACTGTGTCAGCAGTGATCACTTCCTCAGCAGTCTGGGGACCGTGGCCCAACTATCGACTTTTAATAGAAATCTGCCCACAGGGCCTTTCTCCGCACCGGCGAAGATGTGCCATTTCGTGCACCGCTGGTCCCTTGAAACAAGTCAGTCTTTTGTTGACGGTCCCCACATGGCTGACAGTGGTTTTAGATGATGAAAATTGAAGGCCAGAAGAGTCTGCAGGAACCAAGAGGAACATCCCACAGTCCCTGGATGAAGAGCAACCAGGGACGCCAGCTGGGTGTGCACGGCGGTGACCGTTCTGAAGGAGGGGACTAATCTCTAGCCCTGCGTCCCCAGGCTCAGCGGACTGGGGTCCAGGCAGCTGAGACGGGGCAGCGGCTCCGGCTGCAAGCGTAGGCTGTGGCTCCTTGCGGATGCACGGCCCTACCCTCGTAACAACACATGGGTACACGCGCTTTGAAATCGGTCACTTTGCGTTCAAGTTCGGACTTTCACATGTACTCAACGTGTAACATCGGGTAAGTTATGTGACCTTCCTAATCCTTGTTTCTTCATGCTTGACACAGAAATGACACCAGCCATTCATTCAATAGATACTCACCGGGCACTGTCCTAGATGCTGGGAATATGGCGGAGCTTGTGGACCAGGGAGGGAGGGCAGCAGACACTGACCTGACATCGGCCTGTAGAGCCACCAGTGCGTTCAGCGAGATGAGGGAGCAGATCATGTATGAGAGCCTGGGACACTTGAGCTTGTTAGGGCTTGTTAGAGAACGAGTTAACCAGCCGGGGACTGGAGGGAACAGCATTCCTACCAGAGGGAACAGAAAGTACACTGTCTCCATACTGAGAGGAGGCACGGTGACTGGAGGCCAGTGTCATGGAAGCACAGGGGTCATGGGGGCGGTGGGAGTGTGGCTGAAGGGGCAGGAGCTGTGGCCCCTGTTGAGGATTCCCTCCCTGGGATGGCCAATTCTAGGGCCAGCTTGACTGGGTTAGGGGTGCCCAGCTGGTAAAGCATTATTTCTGGGTGTATCTGCGAGCACATTTCTGGAAGAGATGGGCGCTTGTGTCATGGCTCTGAGTAGGGACAGTCCCCTTCACCTAATGCGGTGGCACCGTCCAGTTGGTTGAGGGCCCAGGTAGAGCGAAAAGGCAGAGGAGAGGGGAATTCACTCCCTCTCTCGGGTCTGGGACACCCATCTCCTCCTGCCCTGGACGGCGGGACTCCAGGTTGTCCAGTCTTCAGACTCCAGGACTGGCCCCCGGGGCGCCGCCGGCTCTCAAGCCTTTGGCCTCAGCCTGGGAGTTACCCCGTCAGCTGCCCGATTCTCAGGCCTTCGGACTTGGACTGAGCCACGCGCCGGCTTCCCTGGCTCTGCAGCTCGCCGATTGTGGGGCCTCTCAGCTTCTGTGATCGTGTGAGCCAGTTCCCCCATGAATCCCCGCTCACACAGCTCTATTTCTCTTTCTTTCTTTTCTTTCTTTACTCCTTTTTTCTCCTTTCTTTCCTCCTTCCTTTCTTTCCTTTCTTTCTTCCCTCCTTTCTTTTCTTCCTTTCTTTCTTTCCTCCTTTCTTTCTTTCCTTCCTTTCTTTCCTTTCTTTCTTCCCTCCTTTCTTTCTTTCCTTCTTTCTTTCCTTCCTTTCTTTCTTTACTTTCTTTTTTCCCTCTCTCCCTCCCTCTCTCTCTCCTCTTTCTTTCTTTCTTTCTTTCTTTCTTTCTTTCTTTCTTTCTTTCTTTCTTTCTTTCTTTCTTTCTTTCTTTCCTCCTTCCTCTTTCCTTTCTTTCTTTCCTCCTTTCTTTCTTTCCTATCATCTATCTCTATGTGTATTGCTTCCATTTCCTTGGAGAACCTGGCTGACATGTCCCGGAAGAGCGAGGAGCACCCCCAGAAGGCTGCGGCAGGGCAGGCTGCGGTGAGGCCTGGGCGCTGCAACGTCCTCTGACCACAGCGTGCACCCCAGCGGAGCCAGACTGGACGCAGAGGACCGCCGAGTCTCCGGGGAACTCTCCTGCCTTGCTCCCGGAGGGAGTCTGGCCCTTAGCGCCTATGGTAGAGTTGGTGCTGAGTAATTCCTTCAGTGAATGAACCATCTAAGGAGGTCTTTGCAGAGACAGGGCGATTTAGACAGATTTTAGGGGATATTTAGGAGCTGGGACTGACGTTTGTTGCTGCCTGGTCTGGGAAGTCGCCACGTGGGCATTCCTGCTGCTGGGGCGGGGAGCTCACTTCTGGGTCAACTAGAGTCCGTTGGCTCTGTCTGTGGTTCCACTATCCAAGGCCAGCCTGGCCCGCACCTGTGTGGCTGCAGAGTCACCCAAGGGGGGAGCACAGCCCCCCAAGCACATTTCCAGCCTCCACTTGTCTGACATTTGCTTGCGCACCCCTGGCCAAGTGGGGTCCGAGGTCAGAGTGAGAGTCACTGCAGAATCACACGCGGCCCTGGGATGGCAGAAGAACGGGAGCCCCTGTTGCAATCTCTCAGGTTAACTGGTTCCTTCTTCATCCTCGTCTTCTCTTAAAAAGCAAGAGTTAAAAAAATAGTTGATTTTTCCCCTCTTTCCCTTGTGGCCTTTCCTTTCTGCCCGTCCCCCAGTGTTCCCCCAGCTGTGGCCAATTTAAAATTAACGCCCAGTCATGAGAAAAACAGCCACCACCCAGAAGTGGCATGCTGTTTATAACCCCGTCCCTCCCTGTGATGGCTTCAACCTGGGATACAGTGTGAGTGCACTCTCGGCGACCAGGGGCCCTCTCTGTCCCGCGGAACTGCCCTGCATCTCCGGAGTGTCACGAAGCGCACGGCGGGTGCTGGCTGCAGAGCGAGAACGCGCTCTGGCCTCGCGGTTTCAGCCTCGGTCAGCGTCTCCGGGACGGTGGTGTAAGCGTCGCCGTTCTCAGAATATTCAGCTCGAGCATTTGTTGCATCTCCAACACGTTCTCCGTCTTTGGCTGAATTCCCGAAAACACATATGCCCCACATGATAGTAATGCTACTAACAACGACAACAGCAACGACAGCCAACAGCTAAAAACTATGGAGTGCTTGCCATGTGCCTGGCACTGCTCTAAGTGCTTATTTCCTACAAACTTAGATTCTACACCAGCCCCTCTGCAAGGTTACTCAGTTATAGGAAGGGATCATCTCACGAGAGCTCTGAAAAACACACGCACATCATCCACAAACACTGCATTTGGTAGGAAAATTTTAATAGAAAATGAGCCTACATGCTGCTTATTTAAACACATGCTCAAAGCTCTTCTGTTTGATTTATAATGTTAAAGCGTTCATTTTATAAATGGTACATTCCTTCATTTGAAAAAGGAAAATACTTTCTAGTGAAAGATTGCACTTTCTATTTGCAGGAGCGGGAGCTTAGGTGGAGATGTGCAGGCCGCGCCACAGCCCGAAGCTTGGCGGGGCCTCCGAGGCTGTCCTAGCAGACGGGAGGGCGGAGGAGCGGGCTGAGGACCGCTAAGGATTTCGCAGTGTTTCCACTCTTTTAACTGTGCTATAAAAATCCATTTCTCGACGGGAACTTGGCTCTGAGGGTTT